AGGAAAGTGAAACAAGAAAAGGGTGGATGAAACAAAAAAGCAAAAACAAAAACAGGAAAATGAAACAAGAAAAGGGTGGATGAAATAAGAAAAGGAGCAGATGAAACAAGATGGGCAGAATGTTGATAACAGCTGGAGCTGGGTGAGGGTATATGGGGATTCATAACACTATTCTCTCTGCTTTTGCATACATTTGAAAATATTAATAATAAAAATTAAAAAAACACAGGCCATGGCCTCCCAAACTGATTTCACCAGTCAGCAATGGGGCACAACCTGCCTTTTGAAAACACCTCGCAGGAACACAGCTGTCCTTGGTTGCACGTGACTGTTACCCAAGGGGCTTTAAAAACATATGAAGTTTGGGACCCACCCCCAAAGAATCTGACTGGTCTGGAGATGGGGTGGACACCTAGAGCCAGGGGCATTATAATGGGTGAAATCAATTAAGGAGGCAATGACCCACATTCTTTTTTGTTTTTTACATTTTCAAACATGCACAAAAGTAGAGAGAATGATAGAATTAGTCCTTTTAAAGTTGTGGTGAGCATCAGTATTTCCCCGAGGGCTGTGTGAAACGCAGAGTGCCAGCCTGCAACCCAGAGTTGGCTCCTGGAAGTTGGGGGCAAGTCCAGCAAGTTCCAGGTGATGCTAGGGCTGCGGGTCCAGGCCACTGAGGCTAGACTGGGGTAGGACGTCCCACACTGCTCAAACTGAAAATCTAGTGTGCCGTCACAACGAAGAACACCCTGCCTCCCAGCCCCCAGTTCTTCTTAGCATTATTTGTTATACATGAGTTACTGAGGGCCTGGATCATTATGTAGCCTCCTGTGCCTCCAGCCTCCTCCCCACTTCTTTAAGATGTCTTCTCACAATTCTAATGATGTTTTCCTTGGGGTGTGATTCCTGTGCCTCCCTCTCTTCCAGCTTCCTGCTGAATCTTGAGTTGCTTAGGATACTACCCAAGCACAAGAAGGCATAGGGTTAATGTCTGAGTCAGGGTGTCTCATCCCACTGAAGTTGGGCTGAGACCAGGGAACATCAGCCCAATGGGCCACTTACAGACCTCGTGTGTCTATGGAGTTTAACATGACTGCAGTAGGGGAGCAGATGGCCAGGGCTGGCTAAGTCACCCATGCAAGCCTCAGCCTGTGTATCTGAGGTCTTCTAAGTTATGATGCTAGGCACCAGTGTGGAAGCAAACGGTGGACCAGTCTGGCATGGCTGGGCAGTGACTGTGGACTTTGGACAAGTCACTTGGTGTCTCTGACATTGGTTTCTAAATCAGCAAGATGGGAGGTGATCATGCCTGTGCTTCGTGTCTCACGCAGTGGTTCTAATGAAGATGCCAGACGCGCTTGAAATATTTTGTACATGGAGCCACACAGAGGTTGGCTACTGTGATCTGCTGGTCTTTGCATCAACAGCTATGGCATAGCATTATTTTATTTTATCCTTTTTTTTTTTTTTTTTTTTGAGACAAGGTCTTGCTCTGTAACCCGAGGCCATGACTCCCTTTAGTCTTGACCTCCTGGACTCAAGCAATCCTCTCACCTCAGCCTCCTGAGGCACACACCAGCATGCCCAGCTAATTTTTTCTTTTTGTAGAGACAAGGTCTTGCTATGTTGCCCTGGCTAGTCTGGAACTCCTGGCCTCAAATGACCCTTCTGTCTTGGCCTCTCAAAGTGCTGGGATTACAGGTGCCTGCACCCATGCCTGGCCTGGCACAGTTTTTAGTTCAAAAATCTTGGAAACAGGGCCTCCACCAGCTTAGGCAATGTCTTTGTGCAGATTAGAAAAAGATGTCCCAAGCACACACAGTTCAGCACCTAAGAAATGTGAGGGGTGAGTATCCTTTCCCATCCCCAACCAGAGATGATTTGAAGGAAGTCCTCATTCACCGGGGCCCTATTTCAGATTTTCATTCTCCACATGTTAAAACTCCTCTGAAAGCCACGGAGTAACATGTCCCGGATCCTCTGACTGTCTGAGAAAAGAAACTCCAAGATTGTCTGAGCTCTCCTTCCTGCTCACCC